ATTTATTCATGAAAGCTGCCAATAAGCACACCATGTAATTGATGAAAACGATATGCAGAATACGTACACAATGTCTTCCGTCAAAGGGCAAGAACTGTGAAAGATTCTGGAAACAGAGAATGACCAATACATTTTCTTAACAGAAACTATTAACCCTTCAATGACAACAGTCTGCTTAAAACCAAGAATGGAATCAGAAATCTGGTCTGTAGGGACATGACAGCTCAGTTTTGCAGTCTCAATATGTACTTTCAGGGAAAGGATTTCCCATTTACTGCATGCTGTCATCCATGTGCTGCTTTTAAGTCAAAGCTGAGATGTTCTTACTCTATTTGAATTGGTGTACTTCAGTTATTTGCGGTGTGAGAGAAGTGACAACTGAAGGTCTGAGAAATACTGTGATCTGATGTTTTGGGAGTTGTTTCACTCTAAGTTTGAAGATGCTGGAAAACAACAAACTTCCCCTTTGTATCCTATTTTATAACGTGATATAGACCATTTCCTTTGAAACAATTTAGAATCTCTCAGCTTCAGAAAAGGGGATATATCCTTGCAGCAGCAGAGTGAAGATCAATACGCTTATCTACAGAACAGGATCAGGCACACCTAGTGAATAGCAAACCCCAAAAAAGAGTACTAAAAAGCAATTCTCTTCTGATACATGCCTTGGGGATTGGGATCAACGCGTTTTCATGAACAGTAATACTCTATTACAAACTTTGTTAAAAATAGACTGTTCAAAAGTCACCAATTCTCATCTCTATGACTCAGTGTCAACAAAGCTAAAAACAAGGGCAAAAAGGACGTTTAGAAACACTATCGGACTATTTGAAGGTTGCAATGGCAGTTGTACTCTGTTAACTTCATTTCAGAAGAAAAGAACCAAGGGTCATTCTCTCGTCTGACGCTAATAACAAGAAATTATGTTTAATAATAGAGAGGAATCAAGATAAATTTTGAAGACCATTTGCAGTACATCTAGGAAAAACAAACAAACAAACAAACAACAAACAAACCCTAGCCAGACTTGCCATAAAGGCTGACCCTGGAATTTACTGATTCCCAGTCTCGTGAACAGGTTCCTGCCTTTAAGTATTTTTCCTCTTCTGGAACTCCTACATTTGCACATACTGAGTCAAGATTTTTTTTCTTGGCAAATAACATTTTGCCTAGGATGGAGGAAAGTGTAACAGAATGTCACTATTTCAAAATAAAGCTTCAGATTAAAAAAAAAAAAAAAAAAAAAAAAGCTGGTTTTTAAATTGCATGAAAATGTTTTTTGGTGTTTCCTTTTTTTTTTAAGGTAAGAGCGTATTGAAAACAATATAGAAATACTGCTACATGAAGTACTAAAACCAAAAATAATATTAGCGGGTAATGAAAATTGGCACAATCTAACACAAAGTAAAAATGTGTAGAAGTCAAGAATCAGAACACAATTAACTTAAACTTATTTTGGTTTTAATGGTCATAAGCTGAAGTTTCATCGATTAGATATATAACCCCTACTGTTTGCTTAACCACACATGACTTAGCAAGCAACTTCACATATTTTTTGTTGCAGTTCCTCTTCTAAGAGGAAGAATTACTTGCGTCTGTTCTTGAAGAACGAGTACTTGCATGAACTCAACACCAGTGGCTATTCCTTTTTAATTATAATGTATTTAAAATAGCAAGCAGCACAGGTTCATTTGAACATCCAAAGGCCGCACCTTTTTGTTACAAATTATTCAAGTGCACGTAAAAATGTATATATTTTTTAAGTATTAAAAATATACTCTGCATGAAGCAAATTCTGCCAAAGAGTAGATGAGGGAAACAACGCCCACATGCTTTTCACATGTCCCACTAACTCCCAGTACAAGCATACCAAATATTCAATTGTTCAAGTACTCTGATAAAATACTGAATACTCACCATCTTTACATACAAAGTATCTTCACTTAGTACAGTTGCAAAAGCATGTAACCCCATTTTGGTAAACTGCAAAAAACTACTCCCTCTAAATCAATGCTATTATATGTTGGAGAAAGAGGTAACTTCCACTGCAACTCTGACAGAAAAGAATACGATGACGCCATTAAAACTAACAACATCCACAAAGTACACCTCTTGAGACAGTCTGTCACTAAAGCATGCCACCTTTAAAAAACACATGCCCTATTAATATTGTGTGTCCAAAGGATGAAGTGGGAACATGAAGTGACCCCCCAGGAGAACACTCTCTGTCAGACTTCCACAATTTGAGTAGAATAGAGGTTGTTATGTAAGCATGCTATATACACATTTATACCAATAAAATTTTCCAATTGAAAATTCCATGGAAATTTAAATCCATCCCCTGCCCCTTTGATTCCTTCCTGTCCACCTTCTACTTTCTTTATGCATTGTTTCCCTTTTTCAACTTTTTTTAATTTATTTTTATTGTTTGTCTCTCCTTTTACTGTCACTTTATAACCAGACTTGTCATTTGTTGTTCCTTAAATAATTAAATATTCTCCATTTGCTTTCCTGCTTTCAAACCAGACTGGCATCCCATTTATGTGCTATCACTCACTTCTACCACCTTTCACTTTCTCTTGTTATCATATCTTTATAGTACTATCTGGCAGGCAGAAATCAAATTTTTTTCTTCTTCTCAAAGGGTAAGTTAGCAGCTTTATGAAACTGTTTTTAATGTAGGACAAAATTAATTTAAAACGCACGCTAGCGAGTTGAACTCACCCTGAAAAGCGGAAGTAAACCTTAATTGAGTACACCAAGACCTTTTGTAGTACAAATTTTCATCTCTGTTTCAATTACCCAGTTCAATGTATCTCTGAAAAGGCCTTTTACCAGCCCCGTTTAATTGAGAGAGATTTTTATGTTCTTTCTATCTGTGGAGTCAGGACACAACAAGGCAAGTTCAATCCCTCAGCAAGAGTTCTAGTCCCACTGAAATCAACCAACATCTTTTCTGAAGTCCCATGGCAAGCCCACAGCACAGCAGGCAGCCAAAGGGCTATGGTGCAACCCCACTGATACCTTCATCCTTCGGGAAGTCTGTCTGAACTACCCAGTTCAGACAGGACCCTTCTCCTCACTGTCTTTTACTTTTCCCCTATTTCAAGGGCATCTGGCCACCTTCATCTGTTCCCATTTCTCCTTCTGTCTTTTTTTCATCCTTATAAAAAGTTCATACCTTCCAGAGAAAGAAACCTCATTTTACTTCACCTACCACTGCCTTTTTCTTGCTGATGGAAAGCAGAACTCAGGAGTTGTGCCAATCTTTGCAGTAAAAGGCTCTTCCCATGTCCAGTGTGGAAGTCAGTGCGGAAAGAAGTTAATTTGTAAAAAAATCTGCTTGCTGAAGGTACTCAATAGAGTATCCAGGGAGAGAGGAATAAAAGTTACTTTCTTGTTCAGTAGCAGTAAACATTGTTGTTACTCTTCAAAGTTCAAACTAAATCTCTGTGTAAAACAAGCCAGCGCTGGCTACAAATGCTGCTTAGTCTACAGGGGTAAGCAGTGCAAGTCATCAATGGCAAGTACAGAGACACCAATTCCCCACAGAAATCTTAATGAAGCAGGAGCATACATCTTTAATCATTGTGAAATAATGAGACCCTACCCACACTGGGTTTCGCAGCTGTTCATCTAAACCATGAGCTCAGATGAAGCAGCAAGTAAAACCAGTACCACATCATACTGCTTTTTCACTGGGATGCACCCACATGTCCACTGAACATCCAGACTAACAAACTACAGCAGAATGATGGAAACACAGAAACTTCTTTATGAAAAGGGCTGGATTAAAACTAGAAGCAGAGAACAACCCTAAATTTGATTTTACTTCACCCACAGCACAGTGGATTTAAAAGCAGAATGCACACCTTGTTCATGCATGTATTTACAGACCGTAATCAATTTAAAAATACTTACTGAATGTGCTGAGAAATTCCTATACTCTTAATGCTTGTAGTTTCTGTAGACATACTGACATCTGATTCATACCAGCACTGAAGTGCTCCACCAAAACTACACCTTTTTGAGGTTCCTTTTAGTAAACAAAATAATATTCTAAAAGGCTTGGCCAAACAAGCCAAGGTAAATGCTACATATTCCATGAACATATTCCATGAATAATTTATTCTTGGCTCAAAATACCATCATTTAAAAACAACATTCTGTTTAGCATTATTACAAGTTTCATAGCTCCATGAAAGATTTCTCTAAATTTATGACCAAATTTTACTGGATGAAGCAAAATTATAAAGATTATTTTGCTAGCCACAGAACACTAATTTAATCTGCATTCTCAAGTGAGGGCTAATCCAAAACCCATGCATGCAGATTACAAGGACAGTAGTTACATGTAAATCCTGTAAATCATCACAAATGCAATATCCTACTCTGAGAAAAAGCACCTTCCTTAGTCCATCTTCTGAGTAACTGAAATGGTAACAACAAATATTTCTATACATATTCCGACTTGCTTAAATTATTCATTCCACTAAAAAGTTTAAAATCTTCCTGCCAGTGAGCCATGTGTTAAGTCTCATAAATATGCCTAGTGAAGTGACAGAAAATATCCTTAAAAGCAAGATTCAGAAGTACCTTATTATTTAACTGAACATCTAAAGGTAATTTTATAATAAAGCAATACATTTTCTCTGGGTTTAGACACCCAAGTTAACACTTCTGAGCAAGGCTGATTTTCATAAATTTCAGTTCTACTGCTTGGAGGTTATTTCTTGCGCTGACATATCATGCATTTGCTCTGAAGTTACTCTAACACAGCTTCAGTGTGAGTAGGAAGAGTTTCCTATCTCTCAAAAGATTTGAAATATGGAACACACAAAGCACATGGAAGAGACAAATCACAAATGCATCCTTAAATTAAGTCTTGCTATTCTGTTCATTGGTGGCAACACTCTCATGGACTTTATTAGCACAGGACTTGATCCAGAGCACAAACTTATATGCCTATCAAATGATACTTATTTTTCAACTAAGCTCACCTTTGAGGCAAAACACATTGATCCTTGACAGCTGCAGATAGAGTCCTCCTTCTCATTCACTCAGGCCCTGATCTCCAAGATACCGAGCAGCTTCAACTCATCCTAACGCAATGGAAAACCACAATCACCCACATGAACTCATCTTCCTTGGACTGAAGTTGGTGCAGATTTTACACCAGAAGGCAAGCTGAGAGCTCAGTGACCCAACCAGCAACAGCTGAATAAATGCAAGAGATCTGGACTTAACCCCAAGTTCTTCTCCTACCGAAGTCAGAGTCATGAGCACCAATGAGTGCATCCCCACGTACTGCCCTATGCTGACCACAAGCCCTATCCTGCTCTCTTGAGTCGTCAGAATTTACCTGTAGGAGTAATTCCACAGAAACCCTCTGCAATTTGTACAAGGGCTGCAGAGTTGGCTAAGCAATCTCAGTGTTATCTTAATTCCAAGCAATTTTAGCATTTAGATACTAAACTAGAAAATTAGACTCTGAGCACAGCAAAGGTTTTGCAAATGAGTTCATTCTACAGCTTACTTTCTTTACCTCTAAATCAAACTAGAAGCCCATTGTGTGCCTGTCCTTTTTAATTAAATTACTAAGAATAATATCAACGGGCAAGCCATATGAACACTGTGGTGCTCTACATCAAAGCCTTCAAGCTACCACTTTCAGTAGGGCGTGATGCACACCTTGCAATTTAAATGAAGAAACTATTGGACAGATTACCAAAAGAAGGAATTCTTGCCAGTTATTTTTCAGCGTTCAGAAAAGGCTATCCTAGTCAGAGCTTTTGTCTCTAAAAGTACTTATTTTCCTTTCCTTGTCAAGTCTGCAATATTTTCCCGTGGCTGTTATTTTTGTTAAATAATTACAATCATCTCAAAAGCATTAGCTTATTTTGTCATTTTCATACATACATAAATACCTCTGGGCTCACTTCTCTAAAAGGAGCGCTACATGTTGTTTGCCTGGTTTTCAATTCTGACTCTTTTAAGTAGTTGGGCTTATTCGTGCTTTTCAAGTTATTTGGCTGGTTTTATTCTGTAATCACACCATTTCTGCTGTCTAGGGACATTCAGAGAGAGGGGGTGATAAGCTGCAGCCCGAATCACTCTGCGATTTTCTAACAGAACCTCTAAAATCTTCTCATTTTTGAAGGCAGAAGCAAGAAGTAAAGAAGAATGCCCGCTGGCACATGGAGACATTTGCCAAGTTCTAGGAGAGGGGCAATTCTGGGAGCGTGGATGGCCAGGAGGGCGAGCGAAGCGCGGGCCGTTTCCACGCACACCCGAGCGCCCGTCCCCGCTCACTGCCGGCGATCACGACACCGACGGCTCTGAGGTGGCGGCCGTGCCCTCCTCGGGGCGCCGGGCCGGGGCACCCCACCCCCGCCGGGCGGGGGGACCCTCTGCCCGCCTAGCTTGCTTCGGGGGGCTGCACCCGCCGCCCGGGGAGCCCCGACGCC